TGTACACACCATTCCTCTCCAGCGGAATCCCACCCAAAAAATTTTTAGCTTCCGAAATAAATGATTCGCTTCAGCAGTCACGCGCCCGCGGCTGCTGATACACCCGTCAAGGTATGTAAATTGACCATGTACCTCGCCTCACTCCTTGTGAAAGGGACATTGGTCACCAAGTGACTGGTGGTCTTGTGACAGGAGTTTGCAATTAAAAGGTGCGAAACGCATGCCAAATAATGGAACCGGGGTTGCTTGATTCTCGTGGCAATCATCGAAATGAAAGACGATAGCGTTCACATAATCCCAGCCAGTCAGTCTCTCAGCAAGCAGCATCTCAATACCCACGTGGTAATATTCCGGAATGGAAGAATATATGATATCGTCCACAGCAAAGCTGAACAAAAAAGGTGGAAATTGAACAGTCCTGATGAACTCCACCTGTTGTCAGGAATATGCCTGACAATTCTTCGTAGGTCCTGTTGCAGCTGGTAGCGTTGGAGCATTGGGCACGTAGGACATTTGCATATTTAGCGAGAAGATCAAATACGGCAAGGGGGACAGAGCGATCGACTAAGTCACAAACACCTTTGAAATAGAGAAACATAACTAAAGTCGGTCTGCAGTACGTGGGGCGCTGTTTGCATTTGTCACGTAGTGAAAGTGTACTTTTGCAACACCGTCTAGGACGCAAACTTCCTGCTGTCTCCTGTTTGGGGACTTCAGTTCCGCAGGAAGGCAATGGACGAGAATTGAGTCCAGCAACTTTGTTGCTACCGTTGTCAGGCTAGTGTCCCGGTGGTTAGCGCAGTCGGTGTCTCTGTCATTCATACACATTCTGATTGTGATCCGTTCATTTATGTTTGCTGTGATGGTCTGTTCATATGTACCAGCCCGAACAGGTGGGTTGGTTAAATAAAAACAAACAGTTGCTTGTATGTACCCAACAAGGTTTGGGTTTCATGTGTTTCGCGTTGAATCTCACACTCATTCTTACATGTGTGTTTAAGGAAATCTAAAGCCTTAGTTCCGAAGGCTGTGGTCACATTTCGGACCTCAGTCCCCGATGGAGCCTCTATATTTGCTGAACATAACGCACCATTCTTCACCCGTCTTGCTGAAATCTGGCCGCTTTTTCATTCCTTCGCGGTGCTGATTGCACACAAGTTCATTCACAATGTCCACTAACACACACGTACATAGATACAGACACACAAATCCAATATGTTACTGGTTAATATGCCATATTTTCTACAATTACCGACCATTATAAAGTCCCAGCCTATAAATTTGCACAGTACTCTACATCCACATGGGCGTAAAAAATTATCACTTCACTTTTGATGCTTTCTCACATGTACTTTCCCCATTTATGCATGCAACACAATGTGCCTACTGCGAAACATTGTAAAACTTTGATCATGCCTGATAAGGCGTGCCTCGATTCTATCGAGAATAAACTATTTATTTATGTATTTATTTAAGATGAGTGTATCCACTTGGAAAACGGTGGCATCTGACATTCTGCCAAACTGCAGAAATCGCCGGATATCCTATTGCAAGAAAATGAATCTGTTCTTCTTATGCCACTTACTGCAGTATACAAGATGTGCGGTTGATGCGCAGGAGAGTTTTCAACACAAACAATAGATAAATCAACCATGTGTACCTTGTATTAACGGGTTCTGCAGCCGTTGTGTAAACTGCTATTGAGACGTGTGCGAAAGTTCAGGAGGCATGTTGTGCTGTCGGGGTAGTGTGAAGAGTTGTCTCACCAATTTTCTCCTATGCCTACTTCAGGTAAGGTAACAAAAGAAAATCATCGGATGCCTCTCTTGACAATATTGCGGCATTCCATTATCCGCTTTTCCAATTCATATTATACAGAAGGCAGCGCAGATACATCGAATTCTCGTAAGAATGAGTGGTGGCGATCACATTTGACCAATGCTAGTCATTGTTCCGCTGTACACTCTCGTTTCGCGCCAATGAACATTACGACACTTCTTAGCAGACATCCGGCAGTTCAATAAGTTATTGGTTTTGTTCAGTTTGATTCACTATTGTGTTAAACTTTAGTGACCTACGATTTCAATGAAAAATTTGTGAGCCATCTAAAACCCGAAACAGAAGAGTGGGGCAAGTATCGTGAAGTAGTACGTCAAAACTTATAGCAATTTTCAGTAAATCAAACATACCCTAGACCAATTGGAGGGTCAATTTTAGATTACACCTTGTGTGTGGATTGCGACGCACAGTCTCAATGTAGACCGTGATTCACATTGAAGTGAACCTTGGTTACTGCGACTACTAGGACCGTAGCCGAAGCAGATGGAAATTGAATGTTGCCCGCCAGAAAACACTGCACAACCACCACACCTTTCGATGTCATTTAATCTCATCAGGTGGAGATAGCAGGCCTTGAACCCGCAACCATTGGAATAGTAGCCGAAATCTCTACCCCTTTGGGTACCGGGTCACGGTCCTAGTGATCACAGAGTTCGCAGCTCTTTATCGGACCCCATACAAGTCGAGTGTGGTGTGCCGCAAAGCTCAGTTCTAGGTCCATGTTTGTTTTTAGTGTTTATTAATGACCTTGCACAGGGAATCGCTTCAAACTTCTTAATGTTTGCCGACGATATCAAGATCTGGCGCAGGATCCAGGCAAACGCCGACCAACATGTGCTTCAGAGTGATTTAGATACGGTGTGTCAATGGTGGACCCAAAACTCATTGCATTTCAACGTCAGTAAATGCAAGGTGCTTTCCATCCGACATCAAAGCAGCTACTCATACCGACTCGGAACGAATATACAACAACAATCAACTCTCGAACGTGACTTGGGTGTCCTGGTTCAAGATGACTTGGGTTGCTCCAGGCAATCCGAAAAGGCCTCGAAGACCGGGAACCAACACGTCGGGCTGTTGAGGCGGACGTTTGGACAAATAAACAGCTGCATATTTCGACAAATGCTCAGTGCGTATGTTCGCCCCCATGTGGAATAAGCAATGCAAGCCTGGCATCCATGGCTGAAACACGACCTTAATGCACTGGAGCAGCCTCAACGCCGGGCATCTAAGAACGTCATTGGAATACGCAATCTTTCCTACCAGGAGAGGCTGCAGCGGTTGGGGGTGTTCAGTAGAAGCTATCGTAGACTACGAGGCGACCTGATTATGACATACTTGATTCTGCGAGACCCACATCATGTGTTCCGCCCTTTACTGCGACTCAGCAGCAATACAAATCTGAGGGGTCACACGTTGAAACTCATTACACAGTATAGCTGCCTGGAGTGCAGCAGAAATTTCTTTTCCATTCGTGTCTGTCACCCGTGGAATGCTCTCCCAGAATCGGTCGTCTGTACCGACGCTAACAGTATTTAAAAAACGGTTGGACGATGCACTCATTTACTTACACTTTGTCACTTAACACTACGTCTCCATCCTACACCTGGAGTTTACCATGGAATTATTTGTGGTTAACTGTGGGTGCTGTGAATCTAAGAGGATCGCAGAAATGCAACGAAGCAAAAGATAAGTCCTTATTTTCATATTTAAAGTATTAACTATTTTACTATCCTCATCATCATTATTGTTATGTTGATATCCCCACCAACTATCCAACGGGACTTGTAAAGTAACGCTTCTTAACCCGTGTAAATTCATTATTTCATTAATTCATTAGTGACCTAGGTTCACTTCAATGTGAATCGCGGTCCACATTGAACTTGCGAGTCGCAATCCAATCACACGACGTGCAATCCAAAATTGACCCTCCAATTAGTCATTCAACGTTGTGCCAAAAGCGTTGCCCGCCGTGACCCGGTAGCCAAAGGGGTAGTGGTTTCCGCTACTATTCCAGTGGTTGCGGGTTCGAGGCCTGCTATTTCCACCTGATGAGATTAAATGACATCGAAACGCGTCGTGGTTGCGTAGTGTTTTCGGGCGAGCAACACTCAATTTCCATCTACCTTGGACCAACTTTTCCTATGTGAATTTGCAGTGGACAAGGTTTACGCACGTGTTCACGACAACGCAAATCACCACTTGAAAAATCGTTTTGGTTTACCTTTATTCCGGCAGAATTCAGCCGAATATTCTGGCACGCCCTCTCAGAAACAGGCGTTGTAGTACAATTTGAGAATGTAAACACAACTAACACTTCTTTCATAAACAAGCAAGTAAAAGCTTATTTACCGCTTGAAAATTTACTTCAGCTTTCAAAGGCCCCGTCAGTCTTCCACAATGTTTCAAACAATGAGGCAATGAGGTTCGATACATTCAGTCACTTATGATTTTTAATAAACAAGTGAGATGTTATGGAGCGCAGTGTGCACCGAGACAGCTTAGTCTATATGCTAGTAGTCTACTTGCTGGTCGCGCGTTTCAGCTGGTCATCAGGCAGATATATTAGGCACTATGGATGAATTCTAAAGGGACCAGAAAGTTGTCTATTGCTTTTTCGTATGTGCAGAAGCTGTTTGACTGAATGCAGTTGTGACGAATTTGTTCCGAAGCTCAGTCCAAATCCATCATTTGATTACACTCCAAAAATGCTTAATGAAGCCTATATCAGTGCGTCCTGCTCAGTCGTACCTGGAGAGATGTTCATCGGCCGCCAAGTCTTGTCCGTACTCATGGAGCCTCGCGCATTCCAAGTATGACAGTAGTGGCCGAGATTCACAACCGGGCAAAGCGATATATATTTTGCTCACTTTAATTTAAAGTGCCAGATGGACTACAGTTTAACTGTTCCAACAAAGTAGACAAGTTAGACTCCATTCGAATGCTTTACATTTTGGCTGCAGGAACTATTCTAGGACGCATTTTGATTACCCTGAATTATACAAATATGCATAATACATTATGTAGATCAACCTAACAGCTAGCCAATTAAGACACTTCTGAGCTGAATAACAGCTAACAATGGGTGACCAGAGGAGACTGTAAAAAGTGGGGCGTTCTCCTGCCGTGTAATGATACTCATATTGATGTCGACTGCTTACCTTCCAATTATCATGAGCTCTGCCGGACGAGCGAGAGGCCGGATGCGACGCCAAATATCCATAGTGAATAGCGTAGAACTGGAGTTGAAGATGCTGGTCAGACTGGACACCAGCGACGCCACCATCACAGCGAGCATGAGTCCTTTGGCTCCTTGTGGTAGCAGTCGAAGCACGAGCCGGGGATATGCTATGTCCGTACATCCACTGGCCTTGCCGCAAGTCCGCTTGCAAACCTCCGGATTACCACATCCGACTTCATCTGTACATCAAAGGGCAAAGTGCTGTGTTAGATCTCTAGACTTTGGATTTTTCTGTATAGTGTGTGACTAGTAGGAATACTTGTCAGTTAGCGTCGCTGCATCGACCATAATTAAGCACTCAAATACATACTTTCGATTGCCTTCGGATGGATGTGATGAGAATCAAGAGTAAGGTCGAAAAAGTGAAATGGAACAGTGAAACTGTGTGTTCATCACATGTAAAAAGCAACTGCTTAACGTATTCCGCAAATGGAAACAGACCAAAAACGAATGTGTCAAAGGAACACCGGTTTTCATAACTCGTAAACAAGGAGTTCTTTTTTGATCAGTTAACAAAATATTGAATGACCACAAGGGACTCCAAATGTTGAGTGCACGAGGCTTTTCCAGCTCCTGGAACCCAGAATGCATACGATGCGTAGCGTGGTTAAGATGTACGGCTGATTCACGAGGGTGGGTGGCACGCTTCAACAATTAACCAGCCGATTTTACACGTACCGGAAGTTTCCGTACGACTATGTGGTCAGTCTTTATAAAGAGCGGCGCGACATTTCTGAACTCGTTGATAACGAGGGGCCGGTGCAAAGCGCAAAATTGCAGCACAATTTATTACGGCTCCGATGCCTATCGAATTTGAAAAACTTACGGCTTGATATTTTCATTGCTTCGGTTACCGTACCAACAAGTTAAGCACACAGCCTCCTCGCGGAGGCTGTGTTGTAGAACCGGTTCAGAGCTATGGTGAATATGATAATGTTTACTTGGAACAATATTTTTGGAATTGCGGATATGATCAAAGTCATAAGAATGACCGTTAATGTATAAATAAGGGATGTCCATCATTCTCCTATTCCGTGAGGTTAGTCCTACCTTACATGTTGTTAAGCGCCCAGTAAGACTGTTTCCTTGAATTACTGAAGTTCTGGAAGCTATCGCTACTTATGCGTTGCGGAACTAACTGGAACACTGCGACACCAACGCACTGAAACACCTTGGTTCATGTTATCAATGCACCCAGAGGCGTAGCATAGGGGTGGTCCGCCCCTGGCTACCCGTGACAGAAGGCGGCAATTTTAACACCGTCGGTTGCTCGATGCCCTATATAAAGGGCGAAATATCCGGGTAAGCTGAGGGGTGAAGATGTTAATGTTACTCTGCATGCTTAAAAACACCTTTGCACCATATGTTACACCTGTGCAAATGTTATTCCCACGGTCCACGTACTTGTCCCATTGTGTTCACTTTCATCATCAGTGGCCCAAACGACCATCCATTTCAAAGAAAACTCAAATGCACTTTACTCTGATCCGATTGTTTGGCCTTCACGCGTCTATTCTGCCCCCCCATTCATGACGAAAAGCTTACCGCCGCCCTGGGCGTCGAAAGTGGTTGCTATGCCAATGACCGCACCCCTGTCACAAGCTTACCAAGTGCAACCGAGAGCTGATCCGCAACAGCTGACGGTGGAATGAGAATCCAGCCCAGCTGACAGATGTTAGTGCGGATGTTTGCTTGTTTGAATCATCATACCGTGTTGTTTAGATCCCAAATTACAGCATCTGTGGCGTAATATCTGAACGGAGGATGGCTGAAAGTTAGGATCCAATATTCCGTACCGAACACATTTAAAGTAGCATGGGGTCATCACAAAGTCCCATACCAGGGTAGCAGCAGGTGAGAGTCACCGCCTAAACTTATCAATCCTTCGCGATGGTTGTTACAATGTGATAGCCAATTAGTCGATGACATCAAAGTGCTCCAGAACAGCCATGAGTTGCTTGTAGTCTTGATTGGCTTGGCATTCTGATTTCAAACATTTCGAGAGAAATGTAAGTAGCGTCTTCGCCGCTTAAAAGCAAGTACCTAGTCACAGTCACATCATCAGCTGGGAGAACGAATCCAGACATCAACCGCCAACCCGAGTTATCTGTATCCCGTTTTATTACAACGGCGACTAATTTTGTCACCTGTAGGATCGGAAAAGTGTGTCACCTGATGTGAGTAAACACATCGTCGAAGGTGCACTAGTTATATGCCTTCGTGTCTGCTTTCTTTACTTACTTCGTAGCGCATTATTCCAATAGTCGGTGAACGGAGCTACCTCGTCATTCTTTTGCTGAGGAAAAACTTTACCTACTCGGACGGACGGCTTTTCTCGCTCTGTTTGACAAGTCAGTCTTCATCGTTCATTAGTTTGTGCGGAGCAGGTTTTTCGTGTTTATTTTGTCAACTTCAGTTTCTCTTGCGAGTATGAATTTGTTTCTTGTGCATTAGTTTCGTGTTCATATATTTTACTCTGGTATTTGTATCGTGTACTTATTGTTCAATTTATCACCTTTACCGTCACATCTGCTAAGCTGTCAGTAATGACGAAGCTGACACCCTGTGGCACTTGTTGCAAAATACTTGGGCATAGAGCCAAGGCACCTCTCAAGTGTTATGTGAATTCCCACATTTCGTGTATTGGTTTGTCTTTAGATTATTTTAAACGACTTCGGGAAATCCAGCATGACTTTGTCCAAATATTGTGCAAGAAATGCCAAGCCACTGTACAGCCACAAACAGCCGAGAAGTCGCGCGAGCCTACAAGAAGGGGGAAACGTTCCATAGAGTGGAGCTCAGTGGGTTCATCCAAGCAAGCGGAAACCCAACCACCTTTATGTTCGAACGAGCCACCCTACACACGGGCTGCAGGCTCTCCAAAGCGATGTCCACCCGTTGTTAGAGACTCAGCTGGCATGCCTGTCTTGCGTCCTCCGGACACTAACATACCGGTGTGCGATAGCGCAGACGTTGAAGGCCAATGGAGAATGCAGCGACGTAAAAAGGAGAAGATAACTGCCAGCACTCAGCGGCCTTGTGATCTTATGATATTGCACGCGCCTGAGTCGACGGATGCTAGTCCTCAGGCTCGTTATGACCACGACGCGGATTTTCTACTTAGCCTGATTGATAGGCTTTTGATCTGAATGAACAGGGGTTGCGGGTGCAGCAAATCGCCCCTCTTGGAAAGAGAGAAAGGGGGAAATCCCGGGCTATGCGAGTCACTGTTGTTGAGGCAGCGACTCCGAGAATGATAAAATCCCGCCTAGGTTGGCTAAGAGCACTAAAGATCCATATTGGTCCCGATTACGATCCGTCTGAAAGAGAGAAACTGAAGTCCGCTATCGTGGAGTTGAAGCGGCGGACGGATAGTGGAGAAACCAATCTCCAACTTTTAAATTTTTGGGTAGTTCCCCTAGTCCTCCGAACCAGGATCAACAGATCATTGACGCTTCATGGCGTCCGCCGATTCTCGTCGCGGCCTGTGCGCAGCCTACAGAAATGTTTGTAGTTTAATGAACAAACGTGACGATATATTTCACTTCATTTTCTCACGTCGTTCGGACTTATTAGGACTGGCCGAAACCTGGTTGAATCCTGAGGTCACTACCCAGGAAGTCCAGATCAGTGACTATTCGTACTTCCGGTGCGACAGACTATCGAACGATCGACACGGCGTGCTGTTATACATTCGGTCCTCGCTGCGCGGAAGACTGGTACACACCTACCGTAGCGATGATGGCTTGTGCGAACAGTTATCATGCTCGATCTGCTTCAAACAGGGTTAACTGTTTGTGGATGCTGCTTATCGCAGCCTGCGAAGTCGACGCCTGGATTGCTTGCCACATGCCAGAAATTACATGGGTGATGTTAATTTCCCTCGAATGCGGTGGCCTGAAGTTCAACTTCTCCCTGGGCACTGTAAAGTCCAGGCGCGGTTTGCGAAGATGGGGCAGCACAACATGTCGGCCAAACGACGCGCGTTGCACCGCATTCCGCTCCATCGTGCCTGGGCCTACTACTAACAAGTTGCGCGCAACGTGTACATGAAATTCACGTCCTGAAATCTCTGGCAGCTAGTGACCACTCGGTAGCGTTAGCCAGGCTAGAGCTGTCGCTGCCATACTCGCGTCTGCAGGAGCCGTCCTACGATTATTGCAAGACTGACTTCAATGGTCTAAATCAAGCCGCCAGTGAAGTAGACTGGTCGCTGCTACAGAATTCATCTGTTAAAGCCTGTTGGTTTTTTTATAAATGAGGGTGTGCGGTCGTTGTGCGCTCGTTTCGTACCCATGAAGTATCAGAAAGCTGGACCAGCGAAGCCACATTGGTTCAACAGAGAGTATGGTCAATTAGCTCGACGGCTACGCGAATTGTAGCATAAATACCTCGTCTCTGGATCTCCTGACGATTAGGTGGCATACAAAAGGCAACGGAATCTATGCAACAGCGCGAAAGCGTCCGCAGTTCGAAGAGGAGCTCGCAATCTCAGCGAAGACGTCCCCCAAAAAGTTTTCGCTTACATGAAGCGGCGCCTGAGGCGCGAACTGACGTAGATATGTTAGTGGGTACTACCGGATAACCTCTGACCTCCAACACTGAATGTGCATCCGCAAAGACGGAGCACTTCGTTACGGTATATACAAGTGGGCAGGCCCCTATGTCTATCGTTATGTGTATAGCCCCTGCAGAACTCGAGGGCCTTGATTGAGGTCTAGGAGATGTCCTCAGTCTACGCGCCAGCTTTGATGGCACAAAACCTGCCGGACTAGATGAACTTCACTCGCTAATTTTATAGTCTTTATCGGCCATTATCTAGCCTGCCGTGACGGATCTGTTCAACAGATCGTTGTCCGAGGGTGCCTTGCCGAGCGACTGGAAATGCTCAGTAGTGAAACCGATTCCAACAGCCGGCAACCCACGCAATATGGACCAGCCGATTTATCTCACCTCTGTTTTGGCGAACATGCTCCAGAAGATTGTGGAAAAGGGTTTTCTGCAATTGCTGGAGTCGAAAGACCTAACGTCGCCACAGCACAGCTTCATGAAGAGCCACTCGTGCATCACCAATCTGCCGTTCACGTGTCAGGAATGCTTGCAGGCGTTGCATCGGGGGAAACCAGTAGATGTTATTCACATTGGTTTCATACTTCCCGCTTTATGCCCACGTCAATAC